TATATGAAAATATCATGAATGATCCTTAGACACTAATTAGATTCACAGAAACCGGCTTTATTTGCAGATTGTTTAGATAGTGTTGTGACGTGTAACAGCTGTCGCGTAACACGCTCACTATTAGTATTCAAATTGTGTTTCATCTGAGTGACTCATTTTTACAGGTAATAAGTCGGACACAAATCCCGTGCCCATGACCGCACAATTTATGTTTGAGTCATGGCTGGGCCCAGAACTTGAGTCCCTCACAATCAAAGTCCCTGCGTGTTCCAGTCGATGGGTAACCCTGCGCCTGACCCTCCTCAGGTCCCAGTCAATGGGTGACTCTATGCCTGTTCTACCTTGGGTCCCAGTTCTAAACTCTAGAGCCAGCCTCACAATCTATCACAACCTCCCGCTAGTATTACGCACTACAGTGTTACTATCATAGCTTGACATTGTCTGACCCATATATTATCTACAACTATATACATACACAAAAGATGCGTACGTCTCCACCCCTGCGTAGAGGATGAAGTTCATCATCTCTCACCACAACGGTCTGAGAATTTTACTACTAGCACAAGCACTGCGTCTATTAAACGACACGTCGGCAACTTGGGTCTGTTCGCCGCTATCTGTGGCTCACTCTAGGCTTGCAGGCGTTGTCCACCGTAAAACGCAGATTGCGCAAATGCAAAACCGTTCAGCAACAGTCACTGAAACACATCGCGTCACTTCTTCACTTGCAACACCCCCTTTAACAGCTTCTGATACTCCTTGTTCAGGAACTTCTTTCCATCTGTGCCTTACAAAAGTGGTGCGTGAAACGTCAACGTTACTCATCACACCACGTCTCCCAGCGGCCCAAACCGAGCTGAGAACACCATACCATATGCATGCCTTCTCCGTGCGTCGCATACAGTACCCAATGGTTTGCCTATAACCATTTGGCGGCTCTGTCAAAGGCTAATGATACTTCATTTCTTCGCACGGCATATGCGGACGGTATGGCAGCGTCCACTGATTCTCCGCTTCCGACGTGAGCTCTCCATGTGCGGTTTCAATTGCGAGCGCAAGAAACTGCGATACAAGTTATCCGGTATCTCTACCGTATGTGTCAGAGGCGCTTGCATATACACTACCCTCGTAGGACCACCCCAACGTGAATATAAATCGTGTGACATACTGCGCAAACGGTACCAGAGCCTCGAACCGACCGCCAGCAACGGCACATCCTCACACTCGATACTAGCTCGCGCCTGGTGCTCCAACTGAACACATCGGACACTAGCTGCTGCCACTGCATCACGCATCAAGGCCTACGTAGCATGTCCAGTCTCCAGCAGAAACAGTACCCTGTCTTGTAATCCAAGACGTTTTTTTACCATTAGAATCGCTTTCCTTATATGAAATAACGGCGAGAAGCCTGTCAACGAGTTACTCGTGGTATTGTACACACCATCATATCGTTATCGTAGTTTAGGTGTGTGATGAACCCTGGAGCATACGTCGGTTCGTTCCCCTGCTTAAAAAAGATACCCTTACGCGTTAGGAACCGCCGATGACAAAGGCACTATCTCCTTAAATCACCGCGCTTCAGGGACATATGGCCAGACCATTGTCACCGTCGCCCTATCCTTTTTATTCCTGGACAACACCTTGCCCATGTCCGACCACTTCGGATTAAAGTACCAGCGAGAACCCAACCACGTTCTCACACACCCCCAGCTAGCGTGCTTCATTCGATAGTTCATAGGATGATCAAATCCCTCGGCGTCAAATGACTCAAAATCTCCTATATCTTGTCGAATAGCATCCTGTTAACCGCTCATGACTACGTTTCATGCTTAATAACCAGCAACGCAGTCCATTATACTCTGTCCTCGTCAGGTAAACGCCGCGCTTGTATGATCGGATCAATGTAGCCTAGACTGTACGTTTGCCACCGGGGTCAGCTCTTCCGGTACATGCTTCAAGATAATGTCAAAATCACGCAGCACCTGTGCGTACCTTGCCATACGCCGACCCCTTGGCCGTTGATTCGTAAGACGTGGGGACTTGCGTCAACATGTTCCTGACCAGGGGCTCGTGATCGGAAAATACCGACAGTGGGTGCCTCCACCTCTTACATGATTTCATTATCCGTGATGTGATATCCCAAACTACGCTGCCAGAACTTAGTCGATCAGAAGCCCGAGGAGCACAGCTTGCTATCCAGCTTAGTATACAACCCTTCACTTACTCCTATCGAGTCATGGGGGTCACAGTATAGCTACAGCTTGTCCTCAAGCCCGGTTCGACCAATACCCTCTCGTAGCCACCTCACCCCGAATCCGGTCGTATGTTTCCTGCTGAGCACGACACCAAAGAAAAAAAATACATATTTAGTTCGAAATAGGGGGCATGACCTGGAAGTAGCTCGGGATATACTGACTCGGTACAGTACCCAGTCGTATGATACCAAAAGGCAATGAGATTCTTATCTGGTGGTGGTATACACAGGATGGACTCTATACAATCCTTACTAATGTACGACCCAGTTCGTCTACGACACGCCACAGCTCAAGCACCAGTCGGTCGGAGAAGCCAAAGCAACACTTCTTGAAATTCAACTTAGCATTGTGCTTCACGCACGATGCTATTCTAGTTGTCCCTATCACTGTTGTGGCCCACACTCATACCGTCAATATGAGTCTTAAGGCCATCCACGCTTTAAAACCAGTGCTCTATCCTCGCCTGTATACTCCACGATGCAGATTTTTATGTCAATAACATGTGCTGAGACCCCATCAGCTACATTTTGCTGACAGATGGCAAAAACTCTGCCCCACATCAACCATTGTATGGTACTTCTTGCCGCGCACATCTGACAAGAAGTACTGCTCAGTCGATACCAAGTACCCCTCACATTCGAGCGTAACAACAACTTTTTTATAGTTGATACAGCAGCGCCAATCATTAACAGACACGGAAACCACGCACGGGTTCCTTAAGACATGTGCGGCATGGCACACTATCCTTTGGTCTTGGTCTCCGATATCTCTCTCGTGACATCGCCATGATCCTAATCGCCCACCTTCACGCCCGGTTTCTTTAAGACTATGTGCGGCATGGCACAATATCCTTTGGTCTCGGCCGCCGATATCTCTCTCGTGACACCGCCAGTGATCCCAATCGCTCACCTTCGTATCCAACACCGACATGAACGTCGGATCGTTGTTGGGGTACACACTATACGACAGCTGGGCCCCATCCTACAGACGAAATTCTACACTGCTCTTGAAGTGGATGTCATTTTATACCATAAACGTGGGGGTTGCTGCATTGTATGCGACTGACCAAATTGCAGTAATAAGATCGTTTAGTTCTTCCTTCGGCAAACCACGTTTCATATGCAGCTTACGCAGCTGGAACTAGTCAAAGTTCAGAACCGCCCTTGGTTCACCTCCTTTGCCGGATAAACAGTAGTCACCACAAAAGACATGTCTACCTCCGTTGATATGTCATGCAACCTTGGCAACACAAACTCATCAGCATCAGCCAACTCTGTCGCGTTAGTAGTATATTCCACTCATCGCTGCATCTTGCCACATATTTACGGTGCTCCTGCTCCATGGACTTGTTCCGCAAAAACTGCCTTCAACCCAAGCCGGTCCGTAATGTGTTCAACCGTAAGCCCTACGGACTAGCTTCCAAAATTGTGCGCCGTATTGGATGGACATCCCATCGTCGCGCTCTCACCCGATTTATCCGTGTCCGCCATCAGAAAGTCAATCACTTCAGTCTGCGGAACCACCACCAGGAAATTATATGTAGTCCACATGAGCGCCAAGTGGTTCTTTTGCATGAATTATAACCCGATCAGCACATCCGTATCAAACGGTAGCGAGTCCACCCCTAGTATATTCATAGGTAGATTGATAATATATCCATACGAGGTGTCAATAGTCACCTGTGATTTTACCACGCCAGATGAGCGTACGTACCCCATCTCGGCAGCTCCTTTATACAGTAACCCTGAACACCGAGCTGTCTTTAGACCCTGCTGCGCCGCAAAGAACTTAGTGACCAAGCTCGGGCATATACCTCAGTGTCTTCAGTCCCTATAGCTTCTCGAATGATACTGCCCGCCTGCGCCTTGCCTTGCGTGCCCATCGAGCCAGCGAGTTATCAGGCAATCACGTCTAAGTGACCGCACGGATCACAGTTATTGCATCGTACCAACTTGTGGTATGCCGCCCGAGCTTCTACATTCCCATCATCCACCGATAAAACCACACTAGGCTTCTCTGATGCCTCACGTGCATGCTTATGTGCATTCCCTTTCGGATATTCTTTGTTCGAAGGCTGTGCGGCCTGTGTCTGACGTGCGGGTTTTTTTTTTGCGATTCTACTTTTGAACCCGATAAGACTTTTGCTAGCCTGTTAGCTGGATAAGCAAGCCGAAAATAGCCGCAGGCGTACCCTTCGTTTTATACCGATCTCCCACCAGATCAGCAAATGCCTCTGACATCTGTACCTCTGGAGAAGCCATATCTACGTTTGAATTGCGTAGAGTCACCAAGACCTCAATGAGGCCTTTTAATCGATAGACCTGACGCACATTGTCCCCCAGCACTTTACCCTGAGCAAATAATTGAGCAAGGAACAAGTCAATCGTGTCGTGGATGGACGTCATGGTATCTGTCACCGCTTTCCCAAACAGCGGTTCCAACTGCATCAAGCCCGAAAAACATATGGTGTGCGGTTCACTGTGTATATCTCAGCACGTGGTTGGCAATCATTTACGCCCGAGTAGTTAGTCGAGAGGCTACAGTAAGATGGTTCCTCATCGTTTCTATTGCTACTCGGTTCAGATAGCAACTGCCGCTGACGTATGGCAATCCCTGCCGTAGCCAAATGCTTCTTAAACGCTTTCAGTTTCATCATCAACCTGTCAGGAACCTGCTTCTCATCTTAAATATAAAGCCTCATGAGCCAGGTCAAACACATCCACAGTGCGCGGCATCGCCCCTCCCGTATCATGATACGCCAAAAGCTTGAAGAGGTGTGTGATAAAAAAGCCCATGTGCCATACGTTTTGCAATTTCTGTAACACGCTCATGACCAACCAGGGTAACTTGATATACTGCCCTGCCAAACGACCTGCAGTCAGCAGCATGGCATCCCACCTCGGCTCTTCAAGCAACATGGTTAAAATTTTATTATGTCTAACCAACATCAACAAGTCCACCATGCCAACAACCTGATTCGTGGTAACAAATCGATATAATATCAATCGTAGTTGTTAAAATCTGAAATAAATATAGACCGAAGTGATGATTAATCGGAGTGGAATGATATCGACAAATATCGCAGTCTATCTTCCCTTTGTCTCTTAGACTATCGAAGATTGAGGCTAAGCTTAGTTCTTTCTTTGACAGCGACTTATTCATATATACTTTTATACGAATAATC